ACGGTCCTTCAATGGGAGGGGGTGAGGACGGTCTCTCTACTGCAGGAGGAGTTGACAGGATGGGGGAGGGTGAGCACCCATCCAAAATATGGGACAGGAAGAGACGAAAATGTCCCCTGGCGGCCTGGATGTCCCCTGCAACAGCAGGAGGAGGCAAGGATGGTTACGCTGGCGAGGGCAGCGGCAATGTGAAGAGAGGGGAAACGAGGGACAGCTGAGACGAGGTCCAAAAGAACATCCCACGGGGCTGTCCCACAGGGAGAGGGAAGGCACCGGAGGTCGTGTGAAAGGAGGGGCAGGCGAAGGGGAGCAACATTCATTAGGAATGTCCGCCTTTATCACGCACAAAAACTTGCCAATGTTCCCGAACATTCAGTGGGAATGTTCGTAAATGTTGATCGTAGCGCCAAAAGCAACCAAAATTCCAAGGCCAAGTATAACGAAGCTGTAGCGACCTGACGACTTACGTAGGCGTAGATATAGAATTTATTGATACATTATGCCTGTAGTTGAAGTTGATAGAAGCTTTTTTTGAGTAATTCAACTTCAACAGCCTGAATTTTTATTTTACATAATCATTGCCTGGGAATTTATTTTCAATATAAACAATTCTGTGATATTGGAAAATTTAGGCAGATTTCGTTTAATACATATCTAAATGTTATATCTATCAAGTGAAAATAAAAATATCCTGTACTTACGAAAAGTTCAAGTTTCCTATATATATTCCCAAAAGGGACTTGAACCAAAGTTCCGTATTAGGAATAAGGGTTTGAACGGATCTTTCTCCAACTATGGTTTTTTAGTTTTAAAATTAATAACTGGATGCGAGATGACTGGATAAGGAATAGTAAATTTGTCAAGTTCAATGTATTATCCGTTTTAATGAACACATGGTTTACTGTAAGTAGAGAAAGTAGCATTAATGCATACAATCTGATATAGTATGGTTGTGATACGATAGTGAACTAGCAGAATATGTAAAATAGTTGAGTTAATTAATATGTTTGCAGTAAATTAGAAGGTATAGCATACAATTATAACCAATTATAATAAACTGAAGCTTGCACCAAGCTAGCATGTGTTGCCCTAGCCCCTAATAAGCTATATATCGCGCCATATAACTCATCAATATATCTCCTATGGTACCTATATGCCTACTCGTAATATATAAGGTCTTCATATTTATGATTATGATGAAAAAATGTTTTGATATATATTCTACTTGTGTATGTTATTAATTTTAATAATTATTCGAAGCATTGACATCATTCGCCAAAGTCACGAGTTCGGTAACCAGAATCGAAATGCCGCACAATAATATTATGTATATTTGTTTATATATAATGAAATGATGGATTTGTCTTTTTAAACTTTGTGTACGTCCAAAACATATGTTATTATTATTGTGCAATGAGGCTTGCTTATAACATATAATAAATTTCGAAGGTCGTTTTTATTTTCACAAACAAACGCACATTGTGTCAATATATAATTAACAGCAGTGATGTTGTTCATGCAGAGAAATGTTAATGCATCAACTGGCTGGCGAAATGTTCTTCCATCAACTAATGAAAACAATGAATGTTATTTCATCAATTTATGAATACAATGAATGTTATTCCACCAACTTATGAATACAATGAATGTTATTCCACCAACTTATGAATACAATGAATGTTATTCCACCAACTTATGAATACAATGAATGTTATTCCATCAACTTATGAATACAATGAATGTTATTCCATCAACTTATGAATACAATGAATGTTATTTCATCAATTTATGAATACAATGAATGTTATTCCACCAACTTATGAATACGATGAATGTTATTTCATCAATTTATGAATACAATGAATTTTATTCCACCAACTTATGAATACGATGTCTTGGCACAATCCTAAACAATGCATGAAGGCACTAATACGAAGTTGATCTTTAATATGAAACGTTTTTCGTACGTAATTCTTCGTAATGCTGCACCACAACCGCGCACCACAAGCCTGTTGACATACGTTTCGAAGCACCGAGTTGAACACAACAAAATCAACAATAGTTATGTACATTTAGTACAGTGTACATTAATATTTTGTCGTAACGTACCAAGCTTGCAAGAACTTTGATGACAGAAGTTCCATCGACATTTCTTTTATTATCTCCATGCTGTAATTTTCTGACAAAATTATTTTCAAATTGCTTTCAACTTAGAAATTGTATATATCCAATCAAATACTCGTTAAAAATTGTTCTCGTTTCAATTAAGATCGTGTGGGCTGAAATGTTCAGAATAGATCTAAATATTGCGAGAACTTTACCGTTATTGTTATTAAAGTCTTAGGTTTATTATAGTTAAAATAATAATAATAATGTTGGCGATCAAGCTGCTAAATGGTTCAATAGTAGCTATATATCATTCAAGTAATTACATTTAAGTAATATTAAATCACGACTGTTACATAATTCATTTCCATCAGTTCACAAAAATTTGCTTGATTTATTTAATTCAGTTGAGATTTCAAACTAATTCAATACATTTAAACATAACAAAAAATTTGCGACGCAATGTTTCATCTGCCAATAATGTATTCAATATATTAAAATATTCAATTTAACCTCCAAATTAACATTAAAATAACATTAATTTTACTACATTTAAGATGGGGATGAATCTCCGATTAAAATCGCACGCCATCGATTGATTTAATCAGATTTGAAAATATTCTGTCGATTTCTAGATTAAAAATGCAAGCCACAAAACTAAAATCAATACACGAAAAATCAATACACAAATCGACATTAAAACATTAATAATAACATAAAATACAGGCTAACCTGACGCATTTTGTCCAAAACGTGCAGGATAGAAAACTTTTATACATAGAAGCTATTATTAGAAACAACATGAACACGTTAGTATATGAATGAATGAATTAAATTGATTAGATGAATAGATTAAGTAGACTAGCTGAATCGATGAATAAATTAGCTGGATGGATGAATTGATTTAATTGATAATCCGAATAGATGAATGAATTAAATATAGTAGCTGAATGGATTGAATACATTAGTTGAATGGATGAATATATCGAATAGGTTACCTCAATGGAATGAATGAGTGGAATGGGATATTTAGCTGAATGTATGAATGGATTAGTTAGCTGAATAGATGAATGGAATATTTAGCTGAATGGATGAATGGAATATTTAGCTGAATGGATTGAATTTATTAGCTAAATGGATAAATATGAGGACGGATTATTCAAACCACTGGGAAGATTCGAGCAAACGAAAACATTTTTTTGCAAACTAAAGCAAGTGCTGAAAGACGAACTGAAATAATTGCGAAAAGCGTGAATGAGAAATGAGGCAATTCAATATAATTCGTCGAAAAATAACCTCGCTGGATGCTAGCTACATTTATTGAAATGACATACATAACGTGGCACTCATCTATTCACGTGCACTTTCATTACATGCACATTCTTTACTCATACAAGCAAGTTTCATACTTACACGAACTTTGATTATTTTCAGAAAATGATGAAGAAAGGGAAGATGAAGTAGAAGAGGAATGAAGAAAAGATAAAAAGTGGGAGAATAAAAGATTGGGAAATAAGAAAGACGAATATAATTCAATTCAGTAAACTAATACCTTTATTTAAATTACGAAATTGAAACTAAATACAATGCAAGACTTTCACAACCGCGAGATACCTTCACATGCCAGCGTTATTTGTCGTAGCGTAACCAGAGATCGCTAATATAATATTAATGATGATAAATTAATCAGAAGTATCGGCGTTATCGTCAACAGTGTATAATATGTACAACATAATCATCATCATCATTACCTACCCGAGTTAGTAATACGGGCGGAGCTCAGTCTTTTAGCAGCGCCCCGTATTGCTTAGCAGTTTACAATTAATATAATAATAAAATTAATCATTAGAAAAAAAGTAAATCATCAGAAAATAAGACTAGAAAGATAGGAATGTTCGATGGCGAAGGGGATGGAATTGGGGGATTGAACGCGTGGGGTAGAGGGCGTGTCCAGATAGCGACACGCTCTTTGCTGCTGTGAGGATCGTCCTGACCCAGTTTGACAAGACAAAAAGGCGTATCAGTGATACATACAGAAGGCGTGTCACTATTTGAACAATATGATCCATTCCTTTTTCCGAGTGCTGTGTTCGCGTCCCGAGACAAACCATAACAAAATTTATATGAGAGCCGCCCAGGGCTCGGGGAGCACGTAAATCAGCCGCTCATGTCCGCTTCGGCCGGGCTTGAAGTGCAGCCCCTCAGCAGCTTGTCATACCCCTAACAAAATTTGGGGCATGCTTCAGCCTCAGTCCAAAAGTTGCTATACTCGCGTTAGTTATTCTGGGTCTGTATGGTCACCTGATCGCAATCAGCGATCAGTCAAAATCGCCTTACTGACTTCATAGTCTCCTGAGAGTATGGCAACAGTGGGCTTGGCTAAGCCTACCAAGCCTGCAAGCTGTCCAACGCGGAAGGCAGTGGGCAGAAGTCTCCCGAACGTTCATTGGCGAACTTGTCAGTACCTACAAAACTATGTATACACATGTATGTACAAGAATCAAGTCTGTGTCCGTCCGCGTGCGTACGTACGCAGCTGTCTCACTCGAGATCGGAAAGTTGACCAAAAAGTGGACATGGAGAAGCTTATTTACGTGCCTTCGAGTACTAGGCGCTCCCTATATCAAAGTCACGCACGGCTCTAAATTTTTTTAGAGTACTGTCTGAACAAACTTGTAATGTTCTCATGCGACTATAAAGTCGGAAAGGAGATTCTCACCAGAAGCTGCAGCATTTCGATCGGGTGGCCAAGCAACCCAGAATAGCTTTACGTCGAGTGTTGCGAAACTTGTGCAGAAGCTTTGGCATTACACAATTTTTTTTAGGGAGGTTCTGTTTTAGTTGCCAACTCGGGACTAAATGTGTTTGCATTGGTGGGTTTTTGGTCGGAAGGGACCACACTATCTAACAAGTACATAACATAACATTTATAAACATTATCTTTTATTTATATATTCAGCATTCTACTCCCGGGGCCTCTTAATCTCGGTGGGGCCTGGTCCGCGTGGGCAGCACGGGTTTGCCACACGTGGCGGGTCTGGGCCCGATGGAGGCCGTGTTGAGGACCCTGGCCAGGGCGACGAGGCCGTAGAGGACGACGGTGGACGACGTGCTGATCACGAAGTGGCTGAGCGACGTGCCCACGTCGAGCCACGAGCCCGACGTGCGGATACGTAGGAAGAACTGCAACGCCATCACGTCGCTCAGGATCAGGAACACGTGGAACACTTGCGTCAGCGGTACCTGCAACACGTGGAACACTTGTGTCAGCGGCACCTGTAACACGTGGAACACTTGCGTCAGCGGCACCTGCAACACGTGGAACACTTGCGTCAGCGGCACCTGCAACACGTGGAACACTTGCGTCAGCGGCACCTGCAACACGTGTAACACTTGTGTCAGCGGTACCTGCAACACGTGAAACACTTATGTCAGCGGCACCTGCAACACGTGTAACACTCAGCGGCACCTGTAACACGTGGAACACTTGTGACACGTGAAACACTTGCGTCAGCGGCACCTGCAACACGTGTAACACTTGTGTCAGCGGTACCTGCAACACGTGAAACACTTATGTCAGCGGCACCTGCAACACGTGTAACACTTGTGTCAGCGGCACCTGTAACACGTGGAACACTTGTGACACGTGAAACACTTGCGTCAGCGGTACCTGTAACACGTGAAACACTTGTGACACGTAGAACACTTGCGTCAGTGGTACCTGCCATACGTGGAACACTTGCAACACGTGGATCACATATTTAGGATGATTCCACACCTAAAATTACACAGTAATTAGGGAAGATAATTGAAAAAGTGAGCATAATCACTAATTACTGACCTGCAGCAGGACGCAGACTGCGTGGAAGAAGCAGGCCACGAGCAGGAAGGGCAGCAGGATCTTGAGCAGCAGCAGGCCGCCCATCACGAAGGGCGAGAACACCGTCACGAAGGGCGCCACAAACACTGGGTCGAAGCTGTTCACGCTCGCCAGGTTACCGATGCCGAAGAATGAGAACACTATGAAGAACAGCTGAGTATAAGGTTAAGGTCACCACGCCACGAGAACACTATGAAGAAGACCGCCACCCAGACCTGACTCCCTGGCTCACAGCCACCCAGACCTGACTCCCTGACTCACAGCCACCCAGACCTGACTCCCTGACTCACAGCCACCCAGACCTGACTCCCTGACTCACAGCCACTGCGTAAGGTCAGACTATTGTTACCGAGGCGGCCACGCCCACGCCAGACGCGGCTGTACAATAGCACTTTCGGTACATACTAAAACAAATATATACTCAAACTGAATGAAATAGTGCTGACTAATCATATTAATTGATCGCTATAGTTCAGGTAATAAATTATGAGAATATATAATAAGTAATGATAATTCATATCTAAGCAGAGAAGCACAAAATAAATTAAAGATAACAAATAAAATAAGTGATAACAAGTGGATCATATTTCTAATCAACTATTACAGTGATATTTATGATTGTCAAACTCTTCAATGACGATACAGACCTGACTCCCTGACTCACAGCCACTCAGACCTGACTCCCTGACTCACAGCCACCTAGACAAAAAAAAATGAACACAAAAAAAAACGAAAATGAACACCTAAAATGAATGAAATAATGCCGAATAATTTCATTGAATGATCGCTATTGTTCAAATAATAAATTATTATAATATAACAAGTAATGATGATTCATATTCAAGCAGAAAAGCACAAAATAAATTGAAGATAAATAAAATAGTTGATAACAAGTGAATCATATTCCTAATAAGCTGTAACAGTGACATTAATGATCAAAAATTCATCAACTCTTTATTGATGATGATACACTCGGAAAAATAAGCGGGACTTTGTCCAAATAGCGATAGAAATTTTCTGCTATCATGTGGGTCATCCAGACCCAGTTTTGCCCATTAACGGGCGCATCTGTGCCACGTCCACTCGCTGTAGGTAAGAAACTGTTTCGTAATCTGGACAAAGAGACCCACGCATTTCTGTGAGTGTATAGCAACAAAGGAAGAAAGTGTGTCAAACCTTAACAAAGAGACCCACGCATTTCAGTGAGTGTAAAGCAACAAAGGATACGAAGAAGTAAGCTCGTCTGACGTCGTCCCAGTCGAGCAGCCGCGGCTGACGCAGCGACGCCTCGTCGTCAGCACCGCGCCACGTCGCGTACTTCAGCGCCGCCAGCTGACGTCAGATTAATCGTTAATTATCACAGATAAACACGAGCAGTGTTTATCTGTGTAATAGTGGTAAATAGTAATAAATAAGAAATAAAATTAATAAATAGTAATAAATAAAAGAACTAGGTGTAGTAATAGCTAAAATCGCCAATTATTACAGATAAATACGAGCAGTAATAAGGAAATCAATTATAAATAAAAGAAGTAGGAGTAGTAATAAATAAATTACCAATTATGAATTATCACAGATGAACACGAGCAGTAATAAGGGAATAGTAATAAATAAATGAACTAGGTGTAGGAAAAAATAAAATTACTAATTATCACAGATAAATACGAATAATAATAAGGAAATTAATTATAAATAAATAAACTAGGAGTAGTAATAAATAAAATCACCAATTATCACAGATAAACACGATAAGTATTAAGGAAATTAATTATAAATAAATGAACTAGGAGTAGTAATAAATGAAATCATCAATTATCACGCCCACGGCCACATTGTAAGCCCTCCATGCGGCACCGCAAAATGTTCGCGGCTTGCCGGGGTTCGAACCCCCGACAAATCGGTGCCGCAGGTCGCGCCAATGATCTGGCCTTGTCTTGGTATCTTGGTACTTGTTTGGGACACAGCAGTCCCAGGCCACGATGGATCGCCGCCTCTGATTATCGTTCATCCGCCCTCATTTGGGCCACCTGATGCACGATGCTGACTCACCCAGTATCCCTCCATCTCACCCAGTATCCCCCAGGCCACCAGTTGGTTGGGGAGGGGCAGGCCCCTCTTGCTGGTGATGCTGGCGCTGGTGCTGACGATGACGGCGAGCGTGACGAGCAGCACGGCAGCCTGCATCGTCGCCGCCTTCGTCAGCCATGTCAGCCCACCACCCCCATCACCCCCACACCTGCGGGGGATACGACATCTTAAACATGCACGTAAACATTCTTATAAATCATTAACATCTCTTCATATCAACACACACATCACGCAATGATGTTTGTGAGGGGATGATGTCTCTGAGGGGGGCGCTACATGACATCAACATCATCATCATCAACATCACCATTATTGCTGGTGATAGTTGATGATTCGGCAGGAGCTTCGTTTTAACTTTCTGTTTGTGATGTTTGTATGTTATGATGATTTTATGCAAATGATATATCAATGTTATGGAGTCGCGCTTAATTTTTTCACATCAACAACATTGAGTTTTGGGATTATTACGGGCTTCGATAAATAAAGTTCCTTACCGAATCTTAAGAATAAGTTTGCCTAAAGACACATTACATGACATGCTTCACAAAACACACTGCATGATACATTTAATATAAAACACTTCACATGATACACTTTACATGACACACTTTACCACTCACATGACATACTTTACATGACACACTTTACATGACACACTTTACATGACACACTTTACATCACACACTTTACCACTCACATGACACACTTTACATGACACACTTTACCACTCACATGACATACTTTACATGACACACTTTACATGACACACTTTACCACTCACATGACACACTTTACATGACACACTTTACCACTCACATGACACTTCCCATGACCCACTTCAGTCACAACTCACCAGACGAGGGCAAAGCAGCTCAGCAGCAATGCCGTGAACCCAGCCAGGATCCTAGAAAAAGATCATTTATTATAATAAATAAACCAAAAACACACGAAAATATTCCAAGTTCCATACTAAATAGAGCAACATTGTTGTTGTTTCTCGCCAGAACTGCTCGAGTTTTCACACTTCGTAAACACAACATATTTTATTTCTCACTAGTGAATGAAATTAATATTAGAATGGGTGCATGAATGGAATGAATTAAGGAATAGGTAATTGATATTAAATGAATGACGAAATGGGTAGATGAGAGATATGAATAAGTGAATAAATGATAGGTATTAAATGAATGATGAAATGGGTGGTTGAATGAAATGAATTAGTGAAAAAATGATAATAAATAAATCAATGAAATAATAAAATATTGATTGCATTAGATAAATGAAGTTACTAAATGAAATTTATGAAAAGAGTAGATGAATGAAATAAATCGTCACGAGAGATTCATTTGACATAACGCATATCAAAGTAAAGCATTTAAGATTTCCTTGAAAAATTCAGCTCTTACATCTCGAGGTCAGCGATACTGCAGTTAAACTAGTGACGCAGAAATGTTATCAGAATACAATTTATAAAAAGCATATTAACTAAGATTATCCTTGTGATTTATACAATGAAAGGCAGCATATTTACTAAGATTATCCTTGTGATTTATACAATGAAAGGCAGCATATTTACTAAGATTATCCTTGTGATTTATACAATGAAANATAGGGTAGACAGGTAGTATACAAGTAACTAACACCATAGGGTAGACGGGCGCCATGCCCACGACGGGAGGCAGGATGGCAAAGGACGACAGCAGAAGACAGGCGCCCACCCACGCCAGCGTCAGCGCTGTCATCCCCTCACGTCCTCCTGACGGTGATGGACCTGCGCACACACAGAGAAATGAGGGGGTGTTGTCCTAATAGCGATGGGCTTAGGTTTCTGAATTTGTGTGGGTCATAAAAATATATATTTTGACCCGGTAAAAAAAGGCTATCACGCAAAAGCTACCACGTGTGTCACAATTAGGGCAATATGACTCGTACATTTCTCTCGGTGGAAAAAAAAGCTATCACGCAGATTTACGAGCAAAACGTCATAATTTGGACAATATGACTCGTATATTTCTATGCCAGTCAACTCGTATTCAAACATAAAAGACTTTTATTTAATTTAATTTAACTTTACTTTTTTTAGCGAGGCCAAACATGGCGGAAAAAAATAATGGTTGTTGACGCCGGAGCTGACGAAGAAGTACCTGTTGCTGACGCCGATTTTGGACGCCCCGCTGCTGACGAAGGCGGTGCTGTCAGCAGCGGCCAACAGCCCGCGATCAGCAGGCCCCCCACGAGCGCCTCCCGCACGTGGAAGCTCAATACCTCAACATGGAAATATAAAAAATATTGTAATATATTCAATAATATATAATATCAAACATATTTTAATAATATTCAATAATAAGTAATATCAAATATAAATTAATAATATTCAATAATAAATAATATCGAACATATTTTAATAATATTCAATAATAAGTAATATCAAATATATATTATTAATATTAAAAAAAATAATATCAAACATATTTTAATAATATTCAATATTAATATTCAACAATATTAATGGTCTATTATATTATTCCTACAATGACAATATAATATTATACGATATAAATAGTGATAAAATATTAATAGATGTATTCACTATTATTGTTACGACGGAATATTAGTGAGAGAAATTAATGGCCAGGAGGACGGCCAGGAGGACAGCCAGCAGGCGGATGGCAGGACATACCAGGATCTGGACGGCCAGGAGGACAGCCAGCAGGCGGATGGCAGTCTCCCAGACGAGGTTGAACTGACGCAGGAGGAGCCACGTCACCCTCAGGGTGCCCCCCCAGCGGCGCAGCAGCGCCCCCCACACCACCACGGGGAGGAGGTGGTAGCCCGTGACACGCCACCCCGCGCCTCCCGCTGCCAGCCATCAATGTTTTAATATTTAATGTTCCTGAAGTGTGGTTAATAACAAAAATACTGCTTTTTGCAAATATTTAGCAGATATAGTATTTTATATCTTGCGTACATAAATAATAATACAAGATATATTATGTATGCTGCGTTACATAGTAAATTAGCGAATAAAGTTGTGTGCATAATCGTGTATTAATTGTGTGGCAATCCTATCACCATAGAATGTTTTTAATGATTGTGTTCGACACAAGACTTTACTCAAATATCTAATTTAATTTAGCTACTGTAACTAGATGCAAGATCTACCACCTAAATGACATGTCTAGTAAACTCCGCGTCTCCGAAAAGTTCCCTTGAAACAGAGCGGGACAGACGACAAATGTCCCAGAAAAGAAGACAAAGAAAAACATTTCCTAAAATACAGTTGGAAATTGGGACAATAATTGTGTCTCGAAATTTACAAATTGTGTCTAGGATATTATGAAACGAGACGAAACGAGAGACGAAATCAGAAATGTAGAATAACATAAGTCAGAATGACACCGAGTTTTTGGCCAAACAGTGATGCACTTTTCGATTATTGGCAGGTCATCATTACGCTGTTGGGACTGGAAAAATGACTTGTCAGATCTAAATCATGTCTCTATTTGTGCTGTAAGTAGGAAAGTATGTCAATATCTGAGAAATATGACATTCATTTGAAAATGTTGTGCTCTTGAGCAACAGAGTTACGCTATTTTATGAAAGTTAGTGCTGCAATTCCGTTCTCTAAAAATAAGCCCATAGAAAACTGACTTTTTAGGAGTAACTACTTCACACTGGCCACTGCCGAACGACGGCAACTTTCATTACCAGACTTGTAGGTACGAAAGGTATCGGCAAAGCTTCGGGCATCTAAAACTGGTAATTAGATTATGCTTAAAGGTTTTATCCATTCTTAGAGGGTTTAACCCTGTCTCTTATACACATCTAGATGTGTATAAGAGACAGCAGTNTGTCTCTTATACACATCTAGATGTGTATAAGAGACAGGTACTACGCGGTACATGTCACGGCACTAGTCACGCTACATGTCACGGTACTACGCGGTACATGTCACGGCACTAGTCACGCTACATGTCACGGTAGATGTCACGGTACAAGTCACGGTACAGGTCACGGTACACGGTACCTACCTCGAGTATCAGGCAGAGTATGGTGATGATCCAGCCGATGAAGGCGAGTGTGATGGCGATGGTGAGGCCAGCACGATGATAGTGATGATAATATTCGATGCCTTCATCACACAACTGCATCAACACCTCGCATGTCCTCATCTGCGCCCATGATAAATGATGAAGGCCACGTCACCACACACGTCATCATTAATTCAAGTTAAATGATACCATAGTTCCGTGGCTATTTGTAATAACGTATCGTATAATTATCTCATCTAACATCATTATTTTTGCTGAACTGTTTAAGTAAATAATATTTTCATTACAGTCTCGTAATAAATATCACAATCCGATAATTAGGACAAAAAAAAAACAGTGTGGCCGTTTTTTCCATTCAACACAAGAAAACCGTATCACATTTTAAAAAACGGCGAAAGTTTATTTTTACAGAGCGACTGGCCACTTAAACGACTTTTCCACCGTTTTTTCACGGTTATTTCTAAAGGTAAAGGAAATTTTGAATAGTGAATAGAAATGAAATTGCGAAAAGATAGATTAATATTGTAGTTTTAGAATCATGAGTGATAGATCAATGTCAAATTAATTTTTTTCTAAGTATTTATGTCTTTTGTAAGAGTGATTGCCTTTGCGTCAAGATGTGCCTTGATTTAAATTAATTAAAAATTAATTTAAAGCAATTAATTAATTAAATAAAAATTAATTTGAATTAAATCTAAGAAATGTTTCACTTTGATCCTCATATTTTCCAGTTGCCGTGATAAATTTATAGCGACCTACGCTACCGAATTTAAATATCAATTTAAGGCATTAGGAGTAGAAATGAATTCTGAATATCAAGAAAAATATAATAATAACAAAAAACAAATATCACAGAGGCTGTATAACACAGGCACTGACAGCGTCGGTGTAGTTGCCTCTGTTGAGGGCGTTCTTGATCCTCGTGACGTAGGAGACCTCGTCGTCTGCCTACACGTCACCACACACGTCATCATTAATTCAAGTACAATGAAGACATAGTTCCGTACTTCCATGGGTAATAGTAATAACATATCGTATAATTATTTTAACTACCGCCATTATTTATGCTAAACTGTTAAAGTAAAAAATATTTCCATTAACCTCCCATAAATATTACAATCTGATTTCTAGGACAAAAAAAAACAATGTGGCCGTTTTTCCATTTAACACAAGAAGACCGTACAAGATTTATAAAAAAAAGGTGAAACAGTTTATTTTAACGGAGCAACCGGCCACTTAAACGACTTTTCCACCGTTTTTTTGGCAGTTATTTCTAACGGTGTAAGAAATTTTGAATAGTGAATAGAAATGAAATTGCAAAAAGATATATATATACCGTAGTTTTAGAATCAAGAGTGATGGATCAATAGCAAATTGAAATTTATTTCAAGTATCATCTATTTTCTAACGTTGATTTTGTTCGCGTTAAGATGTGCCTTGATTTCCCGCAGTTTAATATTAAATTTAAAAATATTTCAGTTGCATCCTCATATTCTCTAGTTGCCGTGATAACTTCCTAGCGAGCTACGCTACCGAGTTTAAATATCAATTTAAGGCACTAGTAAAGCAAATGAATTCTGAATGTTAAGAAAAACATAATAATAACAAAAACAAATAAATATCACACAGGCTGTATAACACAGGCACTGACAGCGTCGGTGTAGTTGCCTCTGTTGAGGGCGTTCTTGATCCTCGTGACGTAGGAGACCTCGTCGTCTGCCTGCAGGTACCTGGGCAAAGTAACCGGTGAGTTTATACCATGAGTGTACCATGACCTAGTGTCCATGAGTACCATGAGTTTGTACCATGAGTGTACCATGAGTTAGTACCAGCTGTGTGCCATGAGATAGTATCATGTAAGTATTGTGTATCTGTAACCAGCTGGCCCAGCTGAGGGCATCAGCGCGGCAGTTATGACCCACTGCCCCCGGGGTGGCGGCGAGGACGAAGGACCTGCCTGTAGGGGATGCAATACTGAAGGCGACGCTCCAGCGTGGCCTGGGGCTGCTACGTTTGAAACACTAAGATGATGAGTTAGTACAAAGTGAGGGAATTGGATACCTCTCCTGCTGTGGAAGAGCTCAGTAGAGACTTGGACTGCCTAGCCCTACTGCTAAGCACCTGGGAGCGACAGAATTCATCCGGAAATATTAAAAACCAGCAAACCAGTTCTGCACCAGCGACTTCACGACCTTCTTTGCCTCTGCTGGGAACAGGTTTACATCCCTCAGGACATGAAAGGTGCGAAGATCGTCACTCTGTACATGAATAAGGAGACAGAAGTGACTGTAACAACTACCGGGGAATCTCTCTCCTCAGCGTTGTTGGCAAGGTGTTAGCCCGGGTAAGGTGTTGGAAAGGTGTTTGCTCTCGCTTGCAGCTCCTCGCCGCTAACGTCTACCCCAAATCCCAATGCTGATTCAGGGCCGGTCGATCGGCGGTGGACATGATTTTTTCCCTGCGTCAGCTGCAGAAGAAGTGCAATGAGCAGCAGATGTCTCTTCACATCGCCTTTATTGACCTAACGAAGGCTTTTGACCTGGTTAGTCGTGACGGACTTTTCCGCTTGTTGCAGAAGATCGGCTGCCCACCGCGCTTACTCGCGGTGGTCAAGTCCTTCCACGAAAACATGCACGGCACGGTTTGCTTCAACGGTGTGACCTCAGAAGCTTTTCCAGCCAGCAACGGAATTAAGCAGGGCTGCGTGCTCGCGTCCACGCTTTTTGGCATCTTCTCCATGCTTCTCCGATACACCTTCGCGGAATATAAGTAACGAGGGCATTTTCATGAACACCAGACACGATCGCAAGCTCTTCAATATAGCCCGTCTTCGGGCCAAAACCAAGGTCACCAGGGTCCTAATCCGCGAGATGCTCTTCGCCGACGATGCAGCCTTGGCATCGCATACCGAGGGAGGACTCCAGCAGCTTATCACCCGCTTTGCTTATGCCTGTAAAGAGTTTGGCCTGATCATCAGCCTGGGAAAAACTAAGGTGTTGTCCCAGGGCACTGGGACTCCCCCGAGCATTGTTCAGGATGGTTACACCCTGGAGGTCGTCGAGAACTTTACCTATCTCGGGTCCAGCATCTCTAGTTCACTGTCCATCGACTACGAGATTAATAGCAGGATTGCCAGGGCCGCCGTCATGGCTAAATTAACCCAGCGTGTTTGGAACAACTCAACCTCACCGTGAAGACTAAGCTGTGCGTCTACAAGGCTTGCGTCCTCGGCACTCTCCTGTATGGATGCGAGACATGGACAACTTATGCGGGGCACGAAAGGAAACTCGACGGCTTCCACATGAGGTGTCTCCGGCGCATACTGCAGATCAGGTGACAGGACAGAGTCCTCAATTCTGTGTACCAGAGCGATCAAAATGCATGTTGTTCACTAGGGCCCAGTCATATATTGCAGAGAGGTCTTCTTGCAACCTCTCACTGTCCGTCCTGTCCGTCCTGTCCGTGATGGTCATTAATATCCTGGTGTCGTCCGCGAATGACGATGCAGTGGCGTGGTTCCGATACTTCCGATCCTGCGTCAAACACTGCCAGTGCTGTACGACTGGCCGCGGCTGAGAAACGAGTAGGTAGGTATTTACAAAAATAGCGAGGCACTTTTAGTCCTATTGTGGTTCATCCTGACCCAGTTTGGCTGGGCAAAAAGGCGTATCTGTTCTCGTGCTGAATACCGTAATCGTGTCACTACTTGGACAATGTAGCCCAGTCATTCTTCTGTGAAAGATGCACTTTATTTTTATATGTTAGATATAAAATATATTTGTTTAGTTTTATATTTCTGCATGTTGCTTTGAAGTTGATTCTTTTCAGGGAATAATTTTTTTAGTGTTTTACCTGATTCAAAAATGTTCAAAATTCGAAATTCAAGCAGATAAAGTATCGAATGGACTTTTAGTAAAAAAAATTATGTTACTCTGCATCGTTTCCCTAAGTAGCATCTACAATGTAGGGGACAAAGATACTCAGTGACACTATAGAGTCGCCACAGCAATTATGTCGCCGGCTTCCAATAGAAACGCTCATTTATAAACTAAATTGAAAAACAACTTAAAATTTTAGAAAATATTTTGTTGTGATGGAACACTGCGCATTGTAGTTATGACCAGAATGATATAAATTAATGATGATCGGCAGATTTAGAGCAGTATCAGAGGGAGATAACATGTATTAGGGTGACAACATGGCATCAAGGAGACAACATGGCATTAGGGTGACAACATAACATTAGGGTGACAACATGCTATTAGGGTGAACACATGACATCAGGGTGACAACATGGTATCAGGGATACAACATGGCATTAGAGTGACAACATGGTATCAGGGAGACAACATGGCATTAGGGTGACAACATGGCATTAGGGTGACAACATGGCATTAGGGTGACAACATGGCAATAGCAGGGTTCGTACCGGTATTTGGAAAAAAAATTCCATGACTTTTCATGATCATCAATATAATTTTCCAAGACTCGTATAAGACAGGTTTAGCTTGACTGAAAGACTAACCGTGCATATTATATCATCTCCTACCCTTGATACATAGCAAACGTGCAAATTCGTAGAGCAGGCAGACGCAGTGGCAGTAGCCACTACAGTGCTGATGCGTGCTGACTTTTGCGACGGACTATTCCCTGATACACTTTTGGAGCAAGAAACTGCAATTGCATTGCTGTCAGCGGACCACAAATCGGAAATGCGTGACTGCGCTTTGCTTTTCTCTCCACTGTGTTGCGTAGCTAACTTGGTGACATCAGCTGGCCCAACTGAGGGCATCAGCTGGGTCAACTGAGGGCATCAGCTGGCCCAACTGAGGGCATCAGCTGGCCCAACTGAGGGCATCAGCTGGCCCGACTGGGAGCATCAGCTGGCCCAACTGAGGACATCAGCTGGCCAAACTGAGGGCATCAGCTGGGCCAACTGAGGGCATCAGCTGGGCCAACTGAGGGCATCAGCTGGCCCAACTTGGGGCATCAGCTGGCACAACTGAGGACATCAGCTGGCCAAACTGAGGGCATCAGCTGGCCCAACTGAGGGCATCCCAACTGAGGGCATCAGCTGGTCCAACTGAGGGCATCAGCTGGCCCAACTGAGGGCAGGTATGTCCTGCGCGGCAGGTATGTCCCGCTGCCCCCGGGACCTCGGCGGCGAGGACGACCTGCCTGTAGGGGATGCAATACTGAAGGCGACGCTCCAGGGTGGCATGGGGCTGCTACGTCCAAAACTTACTAAGATGATGAGTTAGTACAATGTTAATACTATGTAGTTAGTTAGTACAACGTTAGTACTATGTAGTAAGTACCAATCATGAGTTAGTGCAACATTATCACTATGTACTAGTTAGTACAACGTTAGTACAATTTTTCAGTAGCACGCTATATCACATATAAGAATATTCCTAAGACAAACACCAACAAATGATGGCAGATGATGATGAGCGGCATTATAATTATTAATCATTTATTTCAAGTTTAGAGCAGTATCAGGAAGAGATAACATGCATAAGGTTAACAACATGGCATTAGGGTGACAACATGGCATTAGGGAGACAACATGGCATTAGGGTGACAACATGGCATTAGGGTGACAACATGGCATTAGGGTGACAACATGGCATTAGGG